ATAACAATGACAACATACATATATAATGCATCCCTAGAAAGGACACAACTTCAATTCCATCACTCCATCCATGCATGGCTTCCCTTTAAGCTGCATCAGTGATTATCCTCCTTCACAAGCAGAAAAATCTAATTTAGAAATTAGTCCCAAATGTCATTGACAGCCAAAGTCTATTTATTGAACCTTATATTTCAAAAATCATTTATATGCTGATTTTTATTATTTGTGCTTTAATTCTTGTAGAATTCTTATATTTTAATTTTCAGTCTGTGTCCTGTGAATCTGGCTGTCTCTGTGTTGGCTGGTGCAGCTATTTCTGAGTCTCGTTGAACTACAAAAGACAAAATTATATGTTGAATTTTATTATAGCATTGCATATTTTTTCTTGAAATCCTGGGGATATATTCTATTGCATGTTGCATATCCCAGTAAATCTGTTTCACCTTTAAATCTGCAGCTGTCCCTAATTGTGTCTCTGCTCTGCTTAAAAACAGATTTATGAACCTGTCTACCAATATAATGATGCCTGAGAAAATCATTTTCAGAATCTCTAGAAGCTCTGCAGTCTGATTCTATGTTCAGTAAGGAAACAACAGATCTGTGTTCATTTAATCTGTAACTCTGAGTAATGGTCCTCTGAGAAGCCCAGCTTTTTTAAACTCATATAAATGTACAATCTGCTGCCATTTTTAGCTGAAAAAGCTCCATATGTGTAACAAACAGATTTTTCAGTGGCATCTCTGATTTTTTTAACCAACCGATCTCCTAACTTTTACTGAAACATGTATTGAAGTAGCTGCCAGTTAAAATTCACTGAGTGCTGCTGTGTCTCTCCTCCTCCATGTAGCTACTACATATGCAGGGAAATGCGACCCCGAATAATATTATGTCCCAAAGCGACAGATCCCACGATATTTAACTGAGAGGTGGGACTCGAGAGCAGCGGGAGAGCGAGGATAAAACATGGACTGAAAACGCTCTGAGCACAGACAGCAGCACCCAACCTAAACCAGCGGAAAGGGGGAAAAAGCAGAAATTATTGGTGGGGACTGTCCCTCCATGCTAAAGTTGGTGGGGACATGTCCACACCAGTCCAGCGGTGTAGTAACACTTGAGAGTATTACTGCTGCCACTGTCAGTATTATTGGGGTGGAAAATGGCAGGGGTGGCCAATGATTGGGTAAGGATGGCCCCCCTATAGCTCCGCCCCTGTGTACGTGTGCGGTCAGTTGCTATTTAGGTTGCCATGACAACAGTAAACTACCTGCTAATATAACTGCAGTCTGAGCTCCAGAAGCTAGCTTTTCCAGTTTTTAATTGTTCCTAAAGCGGAAAGAAAACAATGTCGTACAATAACTCTGAGGATGAGGAATATAACAAACCCTTTAACCCAATCGGGGTGAGGCAAAGCAACTTTATTTTTTCTTCTTGTTTGTTTTTTGCGTGTGTTTCAAAAGTATTGCTAACGGTCACAGATATTGTGCTGCCTAACACTGTCTGCAGGTTGTTATGCGGCTTTGGGTTGATATTTGTTTTTATCTAACTGTAACAGGAGTACATAGGGGGGAGGAATGAGGCCGGGGAGAGACACGGAGAGGGTGAAACCCGGCTGGCCAACGTTTATCATGGAGGCTATGTCAACGGAAAAAGACACGGACAGGTGGGTACATCAGTTTATTAGATTTAATGGATCCATCAGAGCCAATCAGCCAATCACATGGCGGGGATTTATTTTAACAGAGCTAGAAGTCATTTTTCATTTAGTACAAGTTGGGGATGAATCGAATTATTAGTTCAAAAGTGGCTGAGGAGACTGCTTTGATCTAATAATGCAACATGAACCAACTATGTTATGCAGGTGGAGCATGCAGAGAAATGTTTCTAGAAGTGTACATTGAATCTAAAGCTGAGGGGCTACAGCAGCAGAAGACTGTGGTTACATTTCAAAACAACAACACATCTTTTTCAATTCAGTTTTTAGAGACTTTCCTCATTTGACTTGAAATCATACATCCATCCTCCCTCTGCTAGGCGTGAAATTTCAACTGATTGTTTCAACCTGACATTCTCAATATTTTTGCTTATCATCATCAGGAGCTAGATGGGGGGACAAGGGTAGCCATGACCACCCTTAGCCAATCATTGGCCACACCTGTGGCCACCCATACAATTTTTCCCTCTGATACAGACCGTGGCAGCACTAATACTCTAAAGGGGAATGTTCAAACTTATTAAACATTCATATATTAACAACTACTTGACAACAAAAACACTGCGGTTAATTATGCACATCAATATACAGACATTAAAGATGATTGATACAGAATTCTTGCTCTTTTCAGAACAAAATTTTGAATTATTTGGGGTAAAGATAAAATGATTAGCCTCTGCAAGTGATCTAGGAGTCTTCAGTGAAATCATAGATAAATATCTACTTTAATAATAACCTAAAAAATCATTAAATGTGCATATAAGTAGATTTAAATATCTTTTTTTTTTTTGCAGAATGATTATTGATAAAAGTAGGTAATGACAATTAAAATATGTTCGCCCCGGAACTCAAACCTGAAAGAATTTTGTCCACTTACCTTTTATTTACACAGCATAGATGTTTAAATATATGCGTCTATTTGTTAGTAAAGGCTGCAGGAAAGTCTTTATTTAGAAAATATGGATGTTGTGCTGGTTCCTGTTGGAACAATGTAGATTGACCCTGAAATTCTGGAGCCTTTCTGGCCCCCCCTCAATGTTCATTGGTTATTGACTGGCCACCCCTATTAGGATTTTCTGGCTACGCCTCTGATGTTCATCCCTTTATAGCCACAGGCAGAGAGTTGAGGGGTATGGAGGACCAGCTCTACCATATTTAGAAATAAATGCAGGAATAAATAAATGCTCAATTTATACATTATGACATCCTTAATTGCCCCAAAAATACAATTAACAAATAAATGTAGGTAGAAGGTAAATTTTG